TAAATTAAGGACGGCTAACGCAGATAGCCCTCGTGTAGCTTTGCGCGAAATTCAAAACAAACAAACAAACAGTTTCATCATTTAAAGAAGAGACATTAAATGTCACTGCAGTTGAATAACTGTGAGACAAAATTAAATATGAGTCTGGAAGTCCCTATTATAGCTTACATAGTGATCTTGCACACTTTACTCTTTTGCCATAATTCAAATACGAAAGAAAATAGTTATAAAAAAAGTGACAGTTTCATTTGAAATATTTGTCACAAAATCTAACAATTTCTAGAAAGCCTCTTATTTTTTTTATTTACTTGTTAATAAATATTTTATTTCAGACAAATAATTTTATTTTTCCATAATAATCAAAAGCAGTTAGTTCATAGGCCAAACATAGCCTACTGGTTGGTATACCAGACTATCAATCTCATGGTCCATGGTTTGCATTCTGTTGCTGCAAAATTATATTGCACTCACTGGGGCCATAGGTGCACTGCAAGAGTGACAAGTAAATTCCACTATTTGATTACAATAGCCTAAGAGTTGGTGATAGGTGTTATTGACTGGCTTCTTTCTCTCTAGTCTATCAGTTCAAACTTAAGGACAATTAGTGTAGACAGCCCTTGTGTAGCCTTGTGCAAATTTCTGAAATAAGCTTGTTTGTTTGTTTTTAATTATGCACAAAACTACACAAGGGCTATCTGTGCTCTGCCCACCACGGGTATCGAAACCCGGTTTCTAGCGTTGTAAGCCCGCAGACATACCTCTGTGTCACTGGGGGACCTGAAATAAGCGAATAGTAAATTTGCTCATGTATGAATGAAAAGAATATTACAATAATCACTTTTTGAGTTAATCCAAAATATTTATATAGATTACCATGTTATTATTATTTTTTTTTGTTTCATAAGCTTTCTTAATTTTTGATTGGTTTTCTTTATGATGAACAATTTTAACTTATGTTTTACAAAGATTTATGGAATGTGTAATTTACTCTGTAAGATTAAAAGTGAAAAGTTGTATATAAATGTTGCTAGATTAGCAACTGTAAAAACATTTCCTTAAGTTTGTGGAGTAAACTAACACCTGTTTATCAGGTCATTGCTGTTCTCAAAGCCTTTGGAAATCTTGGTGAAACTGGAGAAGCTACTGATGATATCTTAGAATGTGCACAGGCAAATAGAAATTCTGTTCCACTTAGAGTAGCAGCCTTGGAAGCATTCCGTCGTTCACCATGTGAAGATAAGGTTAGTAATGAATAATAAATTACACTCTAAGTTACTTCAGCTACATTACTTCATCTACTTGTCCAGTTTTTTCATCTATGTGAGGCTTAGATTTATGGTTTGTGAGACATGAACAACAAAATATACATATGAAACATAATAATAATATTTTAAAGGCAAATTAATTAATTAATAATATTTGACTATCAGATGTATGGACACAAAAATATTAACTGCTACAGACCCACAAGTGTTGCAGACCTTATTTATTTGGTGAAATACACAAAATAGTTGTTTAATTGTAACAAAATATTTAACAATTGAAAGATTATATAAAAGCCAAAAGGCACAACACAGAGAAATATTAAACATATAAGAACACCAAGCACAAGCAATTGAAAATAAAAAGGGTAGCCAAAAATTTATAAAATGTCATGTAAGAACAAATTAAAAAATTGTGAATAAGTCAATATCTTAAAAATGCTTTTTAGGTATTCTTATTAACTGTTGTTTGTTTCCAATTTTGTTGCATATGTAGTTGGCATATATTTAGATTTATTTCAATTAAGACCAGTAGTCAGTTTTTCTGTTGGGGTAATTTTTCAAAATTGACTGATAAAACAACTTAATTTTTGTATTTTTTATGTGTACAGTTTTACTCTTTAAAAATAAAAAATATATAGAGATAATATATATATATAATAATATATAGGTTAATATTTTTTGAGAATTATAGTGAGTGTAATTTTAATAACTTTAATAATATCAAACCATCATATTTGAAGTACATGATAACTCACTTTCTCACACAGTTTAGTTGTCTTCCTCAGCCTTTCAGCGTGTCTGCCAAAGAGATTTGTGTGCCACAAACCTTGAGGCAACTCGTACCTAATTTTACATGATTATACGTGAATTGAATTGTGATACTGCAAGATGACATCATCATGCAAAAAATGACCTCCATCAATAGGAGGATGACGCATCTCCGTGTGCATTAAATCCCCCCTATGCATTTGCACTTCTGAATCATCGTTGTTTTACAAATGCAAATGTGTATGGGAAGTTAGTACACATGGAGATGTTTCACCCTCCTTTTGCTGGAGGCTTTTGTTGCATGACAACATTTTCGTGCGGTAGCATAATTCATGAGAAATTAGGTAGGAGTTGCTTCAAGGTCAGTGGCATGCAAATCTCTTTGGCAGACACGCTGAAAGGCTGAGGAAGATAGCTAAACTGTGTGCAAAGGTATCTATGATAAATATATTTTCAGCTAAGGAAAAATGTTAGTTTTAAATATAAAGACACCTTTATACTCTTTTATAAAAACTTGATGCTATGCAGCTAGCTATTCAGTTAAATGTAGCACCTCTTGTGTACTATAAACTGAACATATTCACAAATTCCTGTTGTGTCCAGTTAAATAAAAATCTCTGTCATTTACCTAGCTGAATTTGACAAGAGCTAACACTGCTGAAATTGTAATTTTCAGCTGCTTGTGGTATAGGTTTTAGTATTTAATGTAGGTTTATATGTTTTCTTTTTAGTGTATGCAGTTGCAATAATTGCTGATTTTACTCTTCCATAACTAACATAGAATATATCTGTATACAGGTATATTCAGTGAATATTTCTAAGTTTATGTACCAATGCTCTGTATGTAGCTGTGATATCCTTGTAATTTGTTGTATGAAAGTTGTTAACTTCAACTAATACTGTACTTAAGATTGGAGGTTACATACTACAGCTGTTGTTCCAAAAGCTTATACTTCCTTGGCCCTGTCTCTGTGTCATGCCTTCCAGGAACAGCTACATGATTCTAGATTTCTCCTTTGATCCTGTCTTTCTCTTGTATAGAGGATTGGAAGTTTTTCCTCTCTCCCATCATGAAGCAATTGGAAAGTGGTCGTTGTTTGTGAATAAAAAATCCATTTCATTTGTTCTTTTATCTTACCATGTTCATTGTACTCCTCTGCATAACATTTATGCAACTTCTTAGGACTTTTCTTACATATTTAATTGCACCTGAGTACCATAATTAATTGCTCAAAAAACTAATCGATAGAGAAAACCTGGGTGATAAATATAACCTGACAGCTAGATAGACTGCAAACCTAAAGCTAAATGAATTTAACTTCATTGGATGACAATCTGTTGTTTGATTGATTTTTAAGACTCGTAACATAGGTAAATTAATACATGGACTTTTCTCTATGTTAAAATATTTTTCTTTCATTTGTGAGCTTTCATCCCTTTTACCAAAGCCTTCATTCAGTACATTGTTGCCCAATGAAGGTTCCAATAAGAAGACTGAAAGCTTGTAGATGAAATAATAGTATTGTAACATTGAAAAAAGATTAGTGTATAAGAATATAATCTATCATGTACTTAGCTAGGATGGTGAGAGCTGACATCACTTGGAACCGTAGTTCTAATCTTTTAATAGTTAAGAGGTTCTTTTAACTATCTTAGGTTGTAAATTCTTATGTTTCATTTAAGCTGTAATTTACTAGAATTGTTAATTTTCTTATGTTATGCAATTTAAAGCATCAACATATTCTTTTGATGTCAGTATAAAACCTAAGAAAGGCAGTGCGTAAAAGTTTTATGTCTAACAGATGAGACAAACAGCTCTTGAACTTTTTGAAAAACAAGATGAAGATATCGAAGTGAGAATTACATCTTATTTGGCAGCAATCAAGTGTGGTAACCAAGAGGTTATTGAAAAAGTGAAACAAATTTTAAAAGAGGAACAGGTGAATCAAGGTCAGTCATTATGATTGTGAGTTTTTTGTTATTCGTTTAGGAAAGTTTCAATTATATGGGTCTATAATTTATCTCTAAATGAAAAAAACTGTGTATCCTACAAAGGGTTGAGTATATTATATTAAAATGAATTTGGAGCTTTACCATGCCATTACAGTTCATGTCACCGTGTCTGTGATGCTCTTTCTGATAATTGTGCTTCTTGACAATAGCCCTGCAGTGTGGTTTCCATTACAGAAGGCTCCATAATAAGGCTTTTATTTTCAAAAATCACCACCCCTCCCTGTGCACTTTCCATAATCCATCTAGTATATGAAGACATTGGTTTCACTGTGCTCATTTCAACAGCCCAGAGACAAATAAATCCAGTAACTTAACTGGCATGTTCTTGTATGGAATAGCATGAATACTGGTTTCATTTCTCCAGGTGTTTGAAGTATGTGACAGTTGAACAGCAGGTTTGATGGAAGCCTTATATGTGTAAAATTGTATCCTATTGGCCTTGTTTCCAGATAGAGATACTTCTTGATTAATTTATGTACTCTTGCTTGGAGCACATGAATAGCTTTTGCCACCGACTTTTATGTTCATGAATTCTCACTTAATACAAGATGCCACATTTTGCTGCCATAAGCTTGGGTACAACTTGGAGCAGGTATATTTCTGATCATGGTGACATAAATTGATGAATATTGCTTTGTTTTACAATACCATGAAGTACAAGGTATATCTCCATCTTTGAAATTCTAAGATTCCTAATACGAACACATCTTTATGATCTGAGAGTATGAATATTTTGTATCTGGACTGTTACATACCCTTCCCAAAAATGATCAAATTTTAATGGAATCACAGTACTTATGAAATGCTAAATGTTGTCAAAATTTAGTTCCAATATATGCTGTTGCATTATGACTTTATATATTGGCTGTGGTTGTCACTTGCCTTGCTGATTTGACTATTCAGATCTTTTTATTATACATATTCAACCTTGTATACATAAATATTTTCAACTACGTTTATTAATACATCATAAAAACTTAACAGTTTGATGTATATTTTTCTTGGATAAAATAAATGATAAAGATTCATTTGGGTGTGAAAGCTACCACAAAGAAAAGAAATACAAAATATTAGAAATGTGATAACTATTGAAGCTCTTCAGTTTAAACAAAATAATGAATTTGAAATTCTATCATAATTCTGTTATACCAAACAACCACATATATTATAATTTGTAACAGAAGGGAAAAACGATAAAATTGATTTTTACTAGAAGCTACAACAAATCACATCTAATTCTCTATGAATGTGACTTTTATGTTTTAGTTGGAGCATTTGTGTGGACTCATTTAACAAATCTACAAGAAACTTCTGCACCACATAAACAGGACATTCGGAGCTTGTTATCAGATGACTTCCTCACTAAAAAATTTTCAACTGATATCCGGAAATTTTCAAATAATGTTGAGTGGTCTTTCTTCTTTGAAAAGCTGAATGTAGGAGCAGAATTGGAAATTAACTCAATTTACAATCCCAAGTCATTCTTACCTCGATCTGGATCTTTCAACATGACTGTTAATCTTTTTGGACATTCAATTAATCTTTTTGAGGTGAGTTTTTTAATATAACATTCAGTATAACTTGTAAAATGAATTAAATATATTTTAATTTCAACTTGTAAGCTAAGTGCTCATGCAGTGTATATCAGTAATTATATACAGTACTTAGAAATTCTACTTGTTTACCTAATTACATTTCTCTGGAATTATGTATAAAAATAAATGCGGAAAAAAAAGTATCTTGTCCACTTACACAATTCTCATGAAGTTTTAATATATTTCTTTAGGATGTTTTGAATAAGTTGTTAGTGAAAATACTAATATTAGCCTTCTTAGAATTAAAGCTGTGTATTTAGCTTAATTTAATAATAAAATATTGAAATGGGTCCTGACAGTTGTTGTCAAGCAGTTGGGTAATATAAATAGTGTCTCAACCTTTACTGTGTCTGTCTTATATAAGACAGCTTGAAGAGCCCTGATACTGGTGAAAAGGCTTCATCGGCATTGGATATCGCAGATATGGTTGACATTATACACTCTTCTTTACTTTCACTCAAAAGTTCTTATTTAATAATACTAATATAATATATTACATGATATTATGTCATGCTGTACATTGATGCAATGTGTATATGTCTCCTGTATCTCTAGACTAGCAAAAATAAGGAAGATTAAACTTACGTTTCTTAGAAAGACCACATTATGAAAGAATAAGAAATTGTTTGTTCATTAATTTTGTCATATCCTTATGGTCTACAAATTCTCAAAAACTGAAAACACATTTAATATATAGTTGAAACTCCTTTCACTTTCTGATGTAAAAGAACTGCCACACAATTAAAAGTTAGTATGCTAGTCTAAAACAACTATTCCTTTTGTACTTGTTAGTTTAAGCTTGATTCAAGAAGACTGACACATCAAATTAGCAATTTGATAAGAAATATTATTTGAAATTAATATAACATAATACAGTATTGGTTCAAGTAATTAATAAATGTACCTCTCCTCCTTTTCAGGTTAATAATTCTGGAGGTATTTGTCACATTGCTTTTTGTTGCTTCAGAGTTGCATGATTTTGTAATCCATGATGACAATTGACCAGTTTTTTTCTAATGGCAGTCATTATATTGTAATGTTGGAGTTTCTTTAAGCTGGTGCTATAACTCAGTTGTTGGTATCAGTTAAAGCAAAAGCACTTGTAAATTTCACACTTGAGAGAAAATCACAAATGAACCATTTGATGATCAGCTTGTAATTATATGTTGTCCAGTTTTGCACAGTTTCCCTAAGCTGGTGTTATAACTCAGCTGTTGGTATCAGTTAAAGCAAAAGCACTTGTAAATTTCACACTTGAGAGAAAATCACAAATGAACCATTTGATGATCAGCTTGTAATTATATGTTGTCCAGTTTTGCACAGTTTCCCTAAGCTGGTGCTATAACTCAGCTGTTGGTATCAGTTAAAGTAAAAGCACTTGTAAATTTCACACTTGAAAGAAAATCACAAATGAACCATTTGATGATCAGCTTGTAATTATATGTTGTCCAGTTTTGCACAGTTTCCCTAAGCTGATGCTATAACTCAGTTGTTGGTATGAGTTAAAGCAAAAGCATTAGTAAATTTGACAGTTAAAAAAAAATCACTTATGAAACATTTAGTGACCAAGCTGTAGTTATGTTGCCCAATATGCACAGTTTTTATGAGTAACCAAGCTATAGGTATCAGTTAAAGAAATAGCACTAGTAGATTTCCCAGTTGGAAAAAAACAAACTAATATATCATTTGGTGATCAGCTGTAACTATATGTTGTCAACTGAGCTCAGATATGGGTTTTACCACAAAAAGAAAATATATAAACAAAGTTATATTTGTTCAAGACATGCACCTCATACATGAGATCTGTGTACACTAAGAGTCAAACTTTAAGGTATGACTACTTCTTAACTCATATCTGATTTACTGGCAGGAAAGATAACTTTCTATTTCTGGATGTGTCATGTGCTAACTTGTCTTGAAGTGAACCCTGAAAAGTAACAACAATTTTGAAAAAATTTACATCTTAGCTTGTTTCTTGTTTTTTTGTTTGTTTGAAGTTAAGCACAAAGCTATACAATGGGCTATCTGTGCTCTACCCACCATGGGTATCGAAACCTGGTGTTTAGCGTTGTAAGTCCACAGACATACCACTGTGCCACAGGTGGATCCAATTACCTTAGAACACCATTTGAGAATACAAATTGTTCTCCTTTTCTCTGTTAAGTTCTAAAACTCACTTTATAATATTCCTCATTATGGCTAAACTAACAATCATGCAGTCTAACTTCACTTTTGGTAACGTAATGTTTCTGACTTAACTTCTTTAGAAATTGCTTGTCACGGCTAAACCACCAATCACTCAGTCTATACCTATCTAATTATCTCTCACTTAACCTACTTTCTTATATCTGCACGTACTTATAACATTCAACAGAATATCTGGAAATCTCTAGCTCTCTAGTAGCAACAATATTACACACAACAAGAAAACTTAGAAGCTTCAAGCAAGATGACGTCAACAATATTATGAAAGCCTAGTACAACAATTAAACTGCATACACAACATACGACTTGTAACTAGTAATGAAACGGAATTTGTCTCAATTATCACTTAAAATAATCAACTTTTAACACTTTTGTTATGAAAACTAAATAATCATTAAATATTAAATCACTAAATACACTAAGTAATATCTCTTAAACTAAACAGTCTTGTATATCCAACAGGTTGTTTGATTATTCATCCATACTCTGTACATGTGCCATTCCATGATGCATAATGTGACAATGTACCTTGCATCCAAAGAAGAAGTATGCAGTAAATGATAAATTACAGTGTTTTCTTTTTTAGATTTTTTCACATAATGAGTAATGTTATGAATAATCTTATACAAATAATTTGGGCACATTGAACTGTAAACGTTTAATTTGGCCACACTGTTTAATGGCTCCAAAATTGGTCACTTTAAAAGCTTGTTACCACATCTGATCATACCTTATCTGACAATCATTTATAAAGTTTCCATCATGTTCAAAGCAATACCCTCCTCCCTCTGTAACTTCCATAATCCATCTAACATATGAAGATGACAGTTTACCGGTAACTGTTTCAATATTTCAAACACCTGGATACCCAAAGGCACTGTGTCCAGTAACTTGACCAGTATATTTTTGTATGGAATAGTACGAATATCCATTTCATTCTCCAGGTCAGAGATTCTCAAACTGTAGTACATGGAGCTAATGTTGGTGGTACATGACACAATTAACATAAAAAAATCATGAAATTTGTAATAAGCTCTACCTGAGCTTTCCACATACATACTACTCTCCTCACTTATAGACTCACCCTCTACTTACATAGACTTGCCAGTATTTTCTTCCTTTAAAATTGACAAAAATGGTACCACATATTCTTCAATAGTACCAGAAAAAACAATTGTATCTTTTGCATTAATGGGTAAGTGTTAATAATATACATTTTTGTTACTAGATTTTTTATCTTTTTTTTTAATTAGGCCTGGGTTTGTAACTTAAAAAAGTATACAAAAGTGGTACACGAACCTGAAATGTTTGAGAACCACTTCTTCAAGTGCTTGAGGTATACGATGGTTGAATGAAAAATATGACTAGAAGCCTTATTTTGGTAAGGCCATATCTTGTTAACCTGGTTTATAAATGGAAATCCTTCTTGATTATTTTTTGTACTGTTGCGTGGAACACATGAATGGCTTTTGCATGTGATCTTTGTATACATGAATTCTCACAAGAACTGCACTTTGCTTATCATAGCCAGGGCATGACTTGTAGCAGGTTTCGTTCTGAATGGACCTGGTGCCTCATGTTGATTCATATTCGTTTGTTTTCCAAAGCTATTAAGTAAAAGGGACATTCCCACCTTTTAAATTCTAAATCCATGATCTGAACATGTCTTTGTTATATGAGTGTATGAATATTTTCCTTCCAGAAAGGACTGTTACATATCCTTTCCACATGTAATCAGTTTTCAGTACCATCACGCTATGTCAAAATGTAGTTTTGATATATGCTATTTCATCATGACTGTATACTGGATGTGGTTGTCACATGATATGCTTATTTGCATATTCAGAATTGGTTTAATATAATGTCTTCTGTATTATCAAATGTAATATTTAGGAAATACTATGTTATATGCATTTAATGATAGGTATCTGTTTTTTTTATACATTTTACAGTCACAGTGATTAGTGAAATTTGACTTTAAGGTTGGTGTGGTAAGAAAAATAAGTACTTAAAGCTTCTGTAATACAGACATTGACCAGGGGACACATACTCCCCAATAATTAAATTGGGTCTATCAATATTTTTCTGACAACAGATTTTCATTTAGTCTTGTTCTATACAAACAGCTGATTTTGCAAGCTGAAATGAAAGGAAACTACAGTTCTTTGGAAATTCTAAATGTTACGCTGCTAATAACTTTTTATGTATCAGATAATGTGTATACTGTTTATTATCTCAAGCATTCGTATTATTTGTATGACTTATGATTTTATATTACGCAGCAAGCAATTTAATTTGTATGTTTTTGTATGTACAATACAGTACTTGTTGTTACTGTGTGAAGTTATTGAGTAGTATTTTATTGATTGTCACACAGTTGTTATTCATTTATGATTGCCTTCCACCCCTCTTCCAGTTTTGTACATGTAGTGTATAAGTAGTGGAACTTTGAGAATATATTTGTTTTATTAATTTTTACATTTCACTACAATAATTTTGACATTATTAGATTGGAGGTCGCATCTCTGGACTAGATCACTATGTAGAAAAGTTGTTTGGACCACATGGCTATTTTTCCAAGGCTGCATTTGACGAAGTGGTTAACGATGTCAAGGAGAATACAAAGACAACTGCAGAAGAATATTATAAACAGCTCAGGAGCAAAAGGTCAACTTTATACAAGTCAGAAAAACTTGATTTATTGGATGAACGAGTATGTTTTTATTTTATTTTTTTAAATTGTTTAATATGCCAACT